AGATGGACAGATGGACACACATACACTGAGCCTTATTTATAGAGATAATTAGATTAGAATAAAATTTGTATTTTATATGAATACCACCTTATAAAAATTAAGATATAAGTGGTACCCTGTATCCTAGATTCTGCTTTACACCGGCCGTCCATGCTGGCTCTCCAAAATAATTCACAGCAAAGCAAATAATACAGAATGCTATTTTTGATGTTTCCGCATTTTTTTTCTTTTTCCATAAAAAAACATAAAAATCTTGAGATTTTTCTGTTTGTGAAAACTGATATGAATATAGGTCTTTTTTATAAAAGTCAAGTGGTATTCAGTAAACTTTTACAGGTGATACCTGCAGTGGCATAGGGTGACTTTGAAAGCAGGACATACTGTCTATAATGATCGTTAATGGCCACAATAGAAATCAGAGGGAATAACAATCAACAAATAATGACATATTTAAAACTTATTTATTTGTAAATTAATTCAATGATTTATTTCTTTTGGCAAATTCATCAATCAATTTGTTGTAGTAAGTAACATCAATACACTTTAATATCACCATCTTCAAAAAGTTCTTTTTTATTCATGGAAATTATTCAGTCTAGCTTCATTCTAAGAATAGGAAGAAGCTAATTCCACTGCTTCTTTTATTTTTTTGTTCTTACCATATTTTCTTGTGCATGATATGAGAAATTTTGAACAAAAATTAAACACAAAAACAAAAGGGTTTGTATTATACACAAGTAAACATATTCAGAAATTTTTAGTTAGTTTAAAAAACTTTATTTGAAACAGCAAGATTATAAATACACTCAGCTCAGATAATAAATATAATTGCAAATTTATTGATTTATCCCTATGTGGACAGAGGAATCTACAATGCATGGTGACTGTCACTTTCACATCTCAATGCAATCTTTACACCATGGTTGAACCCTATATCCAAACATCAGTATCTAAAATGACAATATCCAAGATAGGGCACCCTTTCTCCACAAATATAGTAAACTTTAAACACACACTTGCTACCTATCAGACCAAAGTGCCATCAGACAACACATAAATCAGCAGCATAAGGATCATAGTAACATCATACAGCTACTCACAAATAATCCCAAAGCACTAGCAAAATCAAACAGTAAAAAGAGACTTACGATCATTGAAGCAATACACTTACAACAAAAACAACCATCTATAAATAAAAACAATTTAGCTTGCATCTTCACATGTATATAAAAAATAAAATAAAATAAAACACACACATGTTGCAACACTCTTTGCCCATGTCACTACACTCACTTCTTCTACAAAACTGGCCATTTTTCTCTATTTACTCAGATGATGACTTAAAGTCAAAAGCTTGGACCATATTTCTTCCAAAGTGAACTTTGGACAATTTCCGATGGAATTTCCTTCTTATTTGAGAAGGATTATTTGCAATTTGTAAAAGCCAATCAATAAAATTGATGTAAAACGTCAGTTGTCTTTAATTATATATATATATATATATATATATATATATATATATATATATATATATATATATAGGGGGACAGAGAGAGAGAGAGAGAGAGATATGCTAAAGTGGTCAACAATAATAACAAAACAATATATGTAAAAAATTCGCAGAATTAATCTGTAGAAAAAGAAAATATAAAGGAAAAAGACTACGTACTGTTTTCCTATTGTCTTTTTTTCTTTATACAAAACAATATATTTTTTAAGGTAAAAAAATTACAATATATGCAGTGGGGAATTTTCAAAATAATATAAATTACAAGTAACCTTTTACTGGACCTTTTCACTTATTATTCTCAAAGATTCTTTTAATCACATGCTGGGTTATAACCAATGACCTTAGGCAAGCAAAAGATGTAACTTTTTGTCGTTTACATTTAATTAAACAAAAGACAGCTATTAACAAATAAATAAAAATAAAAACTTAAATGGACAATGCTCATCACATGATATAGGTTGTGCTTGTTAAAACTAGTTTCTGGAATTCCTGGAGAAATGGTGGACCAGGGATTTTGTTGTTGAGTTCCTTTCTTTATCAAACCCAAAGCTCCAGCCATAACAGGAAGTTTTAGGTTTTAATGTGCTACATTTGTATTTACTTAGTTTTTCAAAAACCTGTGCAGAATTTGTTTTTGTCACTTGGTTTGCTCATGTCAGTGCTTTTTTCTTTTCTGACTTTGATAATATTGTCTGGGCAATTTGTGTTGATAGAATAATCCCAGAGGATAGTTACATCAACTTCATCCTAGTCATTATTATTATTATTAATTAGAAGAAATTATGTCACAAGTTTATTTCTCAACCAAATGCTTAATTCATGATGTTACATTTTATTACTGCCTTCAAAACACACGTCATATACACATAGACTGATTTGTTTTTTTACAGTTTATTTAAAGCCAGAAATTTTTACATTGTAAGAATTTTTGGAAATAATGATTTACTGATACAAGTTCTACTAATTAAACCATAGCTTGTGGTGAGGAAAGATAGATTCATACCTTTGAAATGAATATAATGAATGTGACTGAAATTGGAATATTGCTTTCCGATTTCCAATTCTGCAAAGCTATCCATTACACTAAGTGGTCACCCATCTACGTACTGAACAGGCTTGACATTGCTTAACTTTCAGGATAGAGAAACTGAGAGAGTACAAATTTTAGAATCAAATATTTGTAATTTACAACAAACCTATTTAGGAAAAAGAACCTTTATTTTGAAACAAGGAAAAATGGCCACACTGACTTTATGGTTTCTATAGCCTGTTTATCTCAGATGATTAAATATATAAATAAACTATAATATAACTGATTCCTTGATCTTACTTATTATAAAATGCAGATTGTGTGTGTGTGTGTGTGTGTGTGTGTGTGTGTGTGTGTGTCTACGTTTATATATTGGATTGGATTTCCTACATTTTTCAACTGATTTCAACAAAACTTCACAGGACTGCATAAAATTACCTTGCGGTGGTTCTGACAGCACCAAAAATTGGAAAAACAGAATTGTTTTTGCATGAAATCAATTTGAAAACACGATAAAACATAATTCAGTTGCCAGAATGAAAGGGTGACAACTCATATCAAGTTATACTTATTATAAAACCCAGGTTGTTTGTGTGTATGTGTGTTTGTTTATATATGGGATCGGATTTCCTACATTTTTCAACCGATTTCAACAAAACTTCACTTTTTTTTGGCAGGTAGTGTTTCTTATTGTCTTGCACACTTTTTTCTTTATTTTTACATTCAGAATGCTTTAAAAATTCCATTTACAACACAATTGTTTATAATAAAATTCTATTCAATAACGATTGAAAACAATGTTTTTGTTTGAGTTTGACCAATTTGTAAAAAAAAAAAAAAAAAAAAAAACTAATTAAGACATGCGTGTCCATCAACCTTAAACAATAATCTTTGTCAATTTTATTTTTCAGTCTTTATGATGATCGATACTTGATCTATCTCTTACTGTTACATCCCCGGGCAACGTCGAGCTCTACTGCTAGTATAGTATAAACCAAAGATTAAACACTTGTATGTAGTTAAAGGGGGCTCTTCAACATGGTGTAATGATTTGCAATGTTGTTTTGCTACATCAATTACGACTGAATAGGGAGTTTGATCCTCATTGGGTACACTATATTCTCAGCCTGGTACCACATCTAAGCTAGGCTTAGAAAATCAGGGTACTTTGATGTATTGTAATGTTTAGCAAACTTGTCTCGCTAAATAAATTACAACTGAATAGTGAGTTTAATCCTCACTGGGTACTCCATACTTTCAGCCTTGTGCCACATCTAAGCTGTGTCTCGCTAGATAAAAAAATTGCTTTATATGTAAAGTGTAATTTGTTTTTAATGGTGTTTAAAAGGATGTGAGATTTGGAATTATTGACCAAAAGTACGCCAAGCTATGACCTTTCTCTCATGCACTGTGTCCAGTCAAACACTGTTTGAGAAATGTTTTAGAAATAAAAGCCGAGTAAGAAGGACCCAAAATGATCATGTCTTTTAGTAGCAGACTTCTTTCCAGGTAGAGAACTTATTAGCATTTGGTTGGCCATTTACATTGCTATAGAAATAAGAATGTAAAGGCAATTTGAAGAGATTAAAATAACTCTACACCAGTGGTTCTCAACCTTTTTTTACCCATGGACCCCTTTCCCCTTCTTTTTATCTTGGTGGACCCCTTCATAGCTATTGGACATAAGAACAATTTTCTATTCTTCACTAATATAAATTTTAAGGTTTTAATTATCAAAGAAATAGTATACAATTAAGCTTTATTTTTAAATGAAAACTAATTTAATACAAATAAAATATTCTACTATAATTATAATAATAATTATTATTACTATTTTTAATTAACACAACAATTGAGTTTTGCCTGTGGACCCCCGGAAATATTACATGGACCCCTAGGGCACTGCTCTACACAATAAAAAAAAAAAGAAGTCTTTTTTAATTCCTTCTTCTGTTCTCTCTATCATTAAATTGTTCCGACACAATTTTTAAATAAGTAATATTGCGTATATAAATTATTTTTACACAGATTATTTTTTTTTTTTGATTCATGACTAATGATTATTCAGGAATTAAATAATAAAAAGTTATTCTGAATTCATCAGCTGAATTATTTAATATCTTCTGGTGTTGTCATGAACAAACCAAACTATTTTTTTTAATTAGTCCTCAAAGACAAATTTATTTAATATTTCTTCTTTAATGATTGTGAATTTAAATTTGACCAGTTCCAAGAAACTTTATTAGATTAACTTTCACTCATTTTCCACTTTATCAAAATTACCTCCCACACATATACACAGGTGCCTCTAAGGATTTATGGCATTTAAAGTTTATGAACTGAGGGTGCGCAAATAGATCGATATGAAAAATGTTACATAAACTACTATTTTTTCATATATGCATTGATAGAGGTAGTATTAAAAGAAATAACTGAAAGAAATGAAGAAAAAATGAATGATCAAAAGAAAATAACTAAAAACAAATGACTGACTGAAAGGGAAGAAAAAACAAATGAATGACTGAAAGAGAAGAAAAAAAAAGACAAATGAATGACAGAGAGAAGATGAAGAAAAAAAAAGACAAATGAATGACTAAGAAAGAAGATGAAGAAAAAAAAAGACAAATGAATGACTAAGAAAGAAGATGAAGAAGAAACAAATGAATGACTGGCTAAGAGAGAAGATGAAGAAGAAAGAAATGAATGACTGGCTAAGAGAGAAGATGAAGAAGAAACAAATGAATGACTGGCTAAGAGAGAAGATGAAGAAGAAAGAAATCAAATGAATGACCAACTAAGGGAGAAGATGAAAAAGAAAGAAAACAAATGAATGACCCACTAAGGGAGAAGATGAAAAAGAAAGAAAACAAATGAAAGACTGATTGAAAGAGATGGAGAAAAACAAATGAATGACTGAAAGAAATGGGGGAAAATGAATGAAAGAGATGGAAAAAATACAAATGAATGATTGAAAGAGATGAAAAAAAATCAAATGAATGACAGAATTTTTTCATCACTTTGTCATTCATTCGTTTTTGTTTTTTTTTGTTTTTTTCTTTGAAAGTTTCAAGGAGATGAAAAAAACGAATGACTGATGATATGAAGAAAAACAAACTAATTAAATTCAAACTATGTGTGTATGTTTGTAAAAGAATATAAGTAAATAGATAGAAATTTGAAGAATCTGGGATACTACGAACAGCCTTAGACCCCCAACCAACAGACCGAATAGAGGTAATAATAAACACAAACAGCGACAGAGAAGGCGGCAAGGTTGGAGAGGGATCTCATACTGACTGCAGTAGCATGCAATCCGCAGTGCTTCCTGGTTACAAAGATGTTCAACACGTGAATATGGGTGCGTTTATTTTTATTCGTTCAATTACTGACTGATGATTTTTAGTTAGAGAATGAAACGTTTGTCAAATAAAAATCAACCCCCACGCCATCCTAAAATAAATAAATACAAAACCAGGAGACAGCATAAAACATTTTTAATTTTACACAAAAAATGTTTTAATAAAAAAAAAAAGAAAAAACAGAAAAAATTATAATTTACGAAAGAGAAAGATTAAGGCTTTCTTACACGCCTAATATAATACTTTATTAGTTTAAACATTATTATTTTTTAATGGATACCCATATTTGAGTAGACGTTCCGTTTAATCAACAAGAAAAAAAAACAACAAAAAAAAGTGTTTTATTTCGTCTACCGGCCTGAACATTCGAGAAATCTTATTAAAGAAAAATACGCACTCCGGTAGATAGGATTGCGAGAAAATAACAAAAATGCATTTTCATTTTTATACCAGAACAAGGTTATGAAAATTAATAACAAAGTGGAAAATCTTTCCTGTGAAGAGTTTCGTCCTTTTCACGCAAATTTTTCCCCCACTGTCATTAATTTGTTTCCTAATAAATAATTTTCTCATTCTCATGTATGTATGTAATAGTAAAAAATTATTTAAAATAAGATTAATAATCGCCGATTTTCCTGTTGCTCGATTTGAAGTGGGGGAATAACGACTGCAATAATAATCATAAATAAAGTAGAAAAATAAACAATTTTTTCATTAAAAAACATAGGGAAATTAAATTTAATAATTTCCCAATTTAATTTTCATTCATTTTTAATTAATTTTATACTTACTGGCACTCTTAGCAATTCCAGATATATAGAAAAAATAAAATGCGCTTGTTCTTCATTTCTTTTATTTTCATTCATTTATAATTTAAAAATTTGTAAAAAGAGACAAGTCTTAATTAGGAGACTTGTTGGCTCTTGATCCTCAGCACATACCACCATTTGTTATGTATGGTCATTTTTATTCCAGGAAATGGAGGAGGAAAGTGAAAAACATCAGGACCTTGCTTGAGAACTGAAGAAACTAAAACTGGGCAAGATCTCAAAGGAGAAAGCTTAAAGAGACTGAGTAGAAATATAAAAATAAATTCTGGCTGAACTAACTGTAATTACTGGAGTGATTGCTAAAATTAAATTTATGAATGAGACTTGCTGTCACTTGATCCCGAACTTAATAACTACCTGCATGAAATGATTCAATGCTTTCTTTCAACAGTAGCGATGGTAATGATAACGACAAAATATTTTCTTGTTTTTATTTAGTTGTTAAAAACAACAAAAGAATTTGTTCTCGCCTTATCGTTATTTTTTTTTTTTTTTTGGGGGTGATTTAAATTTTTTAAAAATTAATTTTTACAAGTTTTTGTTCAAGAATATTACTCTTTGTAGCAATTATTAAAATACTCAATCAAATGTATATTTTATTAACAATGAACTGACCAAATCATTTGTCATTAAATGACAATCAATAGAAACATAGATAATGACATTAATTAGTTCTTTATTTACTTAGTGGGTGCTGAAAATGTACTGGTTCGAACAAAAAAGCCCTTCCAAAAACAAATATAAAAAATAAATACATTTCATTTGGTCAGAATTTGGGAAGTGGCTTCCAGTACTTCTCGTATTTACTGACAGTTTAATTTGCTTTAAATCTCCCAGGGAGACTGTACACGTTTTTTTTTTATAAAAATAAAATAAAATAAAATAAAAATAAACGAAGAAAGAAAAACTAAAGTAAAAAAAGAGTAAGTAGAATGACCTTTCTCCAACCAAAGAAAATCCCCAAAGTAGTTAAGTGTTATTTCCCGTTCTTATTTATTCCGACATCTCTAAGAATCGTCTAGTGAGTTCTTAAAATACATTTATTGTCAAACACAAAAAAGGGGAACTTTTTTTTTTCTTCACAGAAGAAAAATAAAGATAGGACGTCCTCCCTCCTTGGTTTCCCCGAGGATTCACTTGTCGCAACTCCAGGGTGAAAATAAAAAAAAAACTTGCACACTTTGCAGTACACAGGTAGATTATTAAGTAAATTTAAATGAATTAAAAATAAATTAATTTAAAATTTAAAAATCTACTTTTTTTTTAACAAACTGTGTAAATAAACTAAAAAAAAAAAAAACTGCTTTTAAGTTAGAAAGAGAATCGTAACGAACATAAAATAAAACGAGTAATTAAAATAAAACCGTAAAAAAACGTGTGGATCAGAATGACAATGCTTCAATTTGACAAATTAGAAAAGTAAAATAAAATTCATATTTTAAGTTTAAAAAGTAAATTATAAAATAAAAATTAAACGGTAAATCAACAGAACAAAGGAGGTAAAATAAAATTTTAAAATCTCACCTTTTTTTTTTTTGTGGGTGTATATATTGTTGACAGTGAAGAAATGCAGATTTTATAAACACATCCAGTTGAAAATTTGATAACAATAATAAACTCGTAAATTATTCCAAATCAGTTTTGTTTTTAATTAGAGGGAATATCCACTTTTTTTAATTTAAATTTAATTTTTTAATGCTTTTTATACTGATTTTTTTATTCACTTGCTTTTATTGTGTTTTTAAAAACACACAACACACACACACAGGTGGTGCAAATAGTGAGGCTATTTTTTTTTTCAAGTATTTAAGATGTTCATTGTGGAAGACAGGAATTATATAGTAACAACGCGCAACGCGCGTGCACCTGACGTAGACTGTCAGCCAGTCTCTTTTTGCCTCTTCTTACTTAACATCGACGCATTCGTACGCACACACTGGCATAAGACTCTGTAAATTAAGAACGTACACATACCTACACACGTAAACACTAAACAGATACATATATACGCATGCACACACTTGTTTAAAAAGAAGTGGATGTGGGCGGTCCTCTTCTCCTCTTTGAGACAAGTTTGACGTAATTACCCGAAGTAAATTTCGGTAGAGTCCGGAAAAAATATCTTACTTTATTTCGCTTTCTTCCTTTCTTTATTAGTATTATATTTTTTTTTATTCTTATGTTCATGTTTTACTTACTACAACTACTTACAACGGAGCGGAGAAGTGTTATAGCTCACCCGGTAAAATATTTTTCGTTTGAAAAAGGCCGTTATTTGGGTTCGAGCCTCTGAACACCAATCCAAGACTTTTATGCCCGCGACTTGCAAAAGCAAAATCTAGAGCCAAAGCCCCACGAAATTGCTATTTATTTCGTCTGCCTGAAAAAAAAAAGTAGTTAAATTTTTAACACACTAAACTTCTTTTTCAGGCACACGGCGTGAGAAAATAAATAAAAAAAAAAGTCTAAGAAATCTAGGAGTTAAGTTTTTTTGTAAGGAGGCTAAGTTCGATGTTAAGTTATTCCAGATTCTATATTTTTTCTTTTTTTTTTATCTCTAATCCTACTGGAAATATTTTTTTGTTTTGATTTATTTTTTTAAATGTACATTTTTTTACTGTTCGTTTGAATTTCCTCTGGAATGAGACCTATATAGACTTTTTTTCCCTTATATAGGACAAAAAACGTTTCAGAAGCCAATGTTTTGAAAAGAAAAGAAGATAAACTTTTACTTATTTTTAAAATCTATGATTTTTAAGAGTTAGACAAACAAATGATACAACTCAGTAAAGTTCACATAGTCATAGAGAAGACCAATATAAACATCTGTTTTTACTTTTTAGTCTTTTCGTTTAGTTTTCAATTTCAGCAAAAAATGAGGCTGTTGAAACCATTCCTAGTTAGTACTGTAGATGTCCTATACCTTTCTTTAGTTAAAAAAAAAAATGCAAATATTTTGGTAGTGATTTTTATAATTTTTTGCTCAAATTAGTGAGTTTTAATACTTAAGCTTGAGCCAAACTCACAGCCAAAAACGTGTGGGGTACCAAGTGTAGATTGAACTAATTTACGCAATAATTGATTTTCAAATTAGCTACTGCTAATCATTGTTTCATGGTGAGAAGTAACTTGTCACTATTCAGTAATCAAGCAATGTGTATTATCGAATCCAACTACAAAACTCTAAAACAATTTAACCACTGAAAAAAGAAAATTAGAAAAAGAATCATTTAAAAAAAATCTTTCTTTTTTTTTTTTTGAAAATTTTTGGTTTGTTTGCTCTTGTTTTTTAGTTGCTGTATATTTACTAATTACTTACTTCTTCAACGAAATGTCTATAGTGGTTACCGTCAATTAAGCTTAGCCTAGTTTGTCATAAGGTCACAGTTATGTGACAAGTTCTATGCTAACAGGTTCTTCTTTCGCACTTCTCGTTTGTGAAACTCTCTTCCGGTTTCATGCTTTCCGGTCAGTATTGGAAGAAGCTTGTTGAATGATACCGGAAGTGCATCAACATATTGGGGGGGGGGGCTATGTCAAAAAGTGATATATGCATTTTTATTCTTCATCAGTGGAAATAAAAGGTTTTGTATGGAAACTGCCTTTACTTTTATTTATTTAATTATTTATTTACTTACATCTTCAAACCAACAATATCTGAGTATCATTGTTGGGTATCAAACAGGGACAAACTGGACCAAACATTTCTAATGGGAAATCTTGTAAAAGAGCCCAGTCAAAAGGAACCACTTAAATCCAAAATTTAGTCAAAAGAAATCAAATAAAATTAAAGGTTTTAGGCAAATAAAATGTTACATCTATTCAATCTTGTTTGATTTATTAATGTTTAGTGCATGCATAATACAAATACTAGTCCATCCTGGGTAAAACAATAAACTACATCCAACAGCAAGGCTTCTGATCAGGAGGTTTTGAGGAGCATGAAACCACCTCTTAATTGCTGGTGTTCCCAGGTCAGTAGCTTGGGTGGTAGCACCTGTTAGGGTCCCAGATATAGGTAAATAGTTAATCTCTCAAACTGGGATCAAAACACTATGAAAGTAGAAAAAATGGGTTTTAACACCAGAAATACTTTGTAAAAATATTATTACCAGCAATAAATTTTTTAAGAAAAATTATTATTAGCTATACATTTTTTAAAAAGAAATATCTTGTCAGCATTAAATAACCCATTGAGGTTGATATGCCATAAAACAAAATAAACCAAACTATACAGTTTTGAAAAAAAATTACCAGCTATGTATATTTTGTGAAAATATTACCAGTGATACATTTTTTAAGAAAAAAATATTACCAGAAATAGATTTTTGAAGAAAAAAATATTCCCAAAAATAGATTTTTGAAGGAAAAAAATTAAACCAGGAAAACTTGTAAAAACACCCAGTTAAATGATCCACTTAATCCCAAAATGTAGTGAAAGGAATCAAATAAAACTAAACTCTCTTTACTACTTTCAAATAAACTAAAATGTTCTTCCAAACTTTGAAAGTATAGGAATACAGAAAGTGATTATCCCTATTTGGTGGCGATAAGTCACATGGGTCATATGATGGCCACTGAGAGACGTCAGTTCATACTGTGACAAAAGTGCCCAGTCATTCAGTTTGTTTACAGCAGCCAAACTGAGCAGTTTCTTTTTTTATCCTGGGCCAAGGGACTTGGACTGAGGCTAAATCTGCTTCCTCCAGCAAATGCTACAGTTTACAAATTAATGAAATAGAAATAAACTTCAAGTGATGTGGTTTCTATTATTTGGTAAAGTTCTTTGTGATTTCTATAGTGCCAGTCTACAATCTTCAAAGAAGGATGATCTTTGCCAAGACCCACAGCCTTCACTTGCTCAAAGCTCAGGGAATTTTGAACTAAACCCTTTATTTAATCTACAGGGGTAGATTGTTCTCTTTCTGTTGACCATATTTCATTGAGTTCTTATTTTTAGTGCAGCCCACTTTATTGCTTGCCCTTTTTCCACTATCTGGTCCAGGGATTGACCTCACAATTACTATGTCACCAAATTCACAAACTGATAATTTAATCCTGCCTGTGGGACAATCCTGAGTCTAGAACTTGGATTCTTAAACCTAATCTGCCTGCTACTGGCACTGCTTGTCATGCTTGACTACCTGCAGCTGCTGTTGCTGCTTGTCATGCTTTGGCATTTCAAGAATTTCATTAAGAAAGATTACACCTGAACTGCGTCAAAATAATATTCAAAGTTTTCATAAAAGTTTACAAATTGACAATGGTCACTTATCTGTTTAGAAATATTGATATCAATTATTCTCTGATTTGTTAATAAAAGCATTTCTTTTATGACCCATTTAGCTTTTTGTTTATTTGGATTTCAAATATTTTATTTATAAAATCAAGTGTTCATTGTTTTTTAACATGCTATAGTTTTGTTAATATCTGAGAATGTAAACCAGATTGTTTTTATATGAGAATTAGCCCAATACAATGCTCAAGAGCCACTCAAGGTAGAGAATCACTGTTAAAATGGTAATGATGAATGAGGTATGCAATATGAAAGGGTAGGTGATAGGAAGTGAAGGTTATGAGGATAAGGAGGACAGATAATAAATAACCCTTGACGTGAAGGAGGGAAGCATCCATACAGGAGTCTGTTCCACAAAATAGCAGTTTTTTGGGAAAAACTATCTGAAGGGACATATCTTTCATATTTTGTATATATTAACTCAAAATGTCTACAGAAAAGGTACAGTTTAAAAGTTGCTCATCTAAACTGGATACTATTTACATTATTCAGACTATTGTCCTTATCTTTGTTGCCATATTTATTACAATGTTTCGGCCTTTATACGCTCCAGCCGTTGTACGATCCAGCTGTTGTACACTCTAGCCGTCTTCAGGTGGTTGGAATATCAAACTGAACCCTTTATTTTGCTCACTGGGGTAGACTGTTCTGGTTCCACGTGCCATGTTTAATGGATGTCAGTTATCAGTTATCTCCTATTAATTCCCCTCTCCAAGTTCTCCACTGCCTTAACTGAGTATTGAACTCGCACTTTTTGCACATATGGCACAGTGGATAAAGGCATTAGTTAGGTCCAGTGACAGGACCCCAAGAGTGTGAGTTCAATACTCCATCTTGTCTGCCAAGGGAATTCTCTTAATACACACTAAGTGGTGTTGTATAAAGCAGTATAAAAGGAAAGAACATAACACTCTCTCACTTTTCTCTATTTACCTAACCACAGAATGCTTACAGCTCTCTATTTACCCACCCATAGAATGCTCATGGCTCTCTATTTACCCACCCACAGAATGCTCATGGCTCTCTATTTACCCACCCACAGAATGCTTACAGCTCTCTATTTACCCACCCACAGAATGCTCATAGCTCTCTATTTACCCACCCACAGAATGCTTACAGCTCTCTATTTACCCACCCACAGAATGCTCATGGCTCTCTATTTACCCACCCACAGAATACTTACAGCTCTCTATTTACCCACCCACAGAATGCTTACAGCTCTCTATTTACCCACCCGCAGAATGCTCATGGCTCTCTATTTACCCACGCACAGAATGCTTACAGCTCTCTATTTACCCACCCACAGAATGCTCATGGCTCTCTATTTACCCACCCACAAAATGCTTACAGCTCTCTATTTACCCACCCACAGAATGCTCATGGCTCTCTATTTACCCACCCACAGAATGCTCATGGCTCTCTATTTACCCACCCACAGAATACTTACAGCTCTCTATTTACCCACCCACAGAATGCTTACAGCTCTCTATTTACCCACCTCCCGAATGCTTACGGCTCTCTATTTACCCAGCCACAGAATGCTTACAGATATCTATTTTCCCACCCACAGAATGCTTACGGATCTCTATTTTCCCACCCACAGAATGCTTAGAGCACGCTTACCTGTCCTTGTATGATCACAGAAGTTAACCAACTTCAAGCCTCATCAGTATCTAGATGGTTAACCACTTGGGAATACCAGGTGCTGAAAGCTTGTGTGGGTAGTGTAATAAATACTGACCTGGAATTAGAAATTAGAGAGCTAAGTTCCAATTCCAGTTGAGTTCATTATATTCACTTACATGCAAATACCCTTAAAAAAAGTCTAAATTCACCTTTTCTCCCCCCCAACTATGGATTAATTAGTAGAACTTGTATCAGTAAATCATTATTATGTCCAAAAACAAAAAAAAAATTCTTACAATTTAAAAATTTTTTCTAGCTTTAAATAACCTGCAAATGGTTCACAAGTTGTAAAAATTAAATCAAATAATCACAGGGTGGCATAGTGATGGTATATATATTCCCCAGATATAGAAAGAAACTATCTCCAGTTAACAGTTCTCAATTTGGGAAAACCCAAGACTAGCTGTTTCTTGTTCACAGAATATGTCCTTGCTAGGGACATAGTAGATGAATCCGGCCCATTTGAATCTGGAGTCACAAACATGGCTTCTCCAGAAACACAGAAGAATCTCCATATTATATTTAAGACCCTATCTTTTTGTTCTACTTTCACTCTATTTGTTGTGTAGATATATGTTATATTTTTCTCTGTGTGAGACATGTGTAAATATGTAGACATAATTGTGTATATGACTTAGCAGCATAAAAATATCCCTGAGAACAAAGCATGTTTGTCATTCCTTTTTCTTTCAGAAATTCTGTCCTGTCCATGAAATATGGTGTTATTATATCATGGATATAACAATACCTATAATAGGGGGTGTTATAGGATGCTAGTGGGTTTAGGTAGAAACGTCTCCTGTGAAATTTATCCTACAACAGGTATGGCAGACTCAATGTGAGTCCAAGTAAAAATGAGTAACACAAAACAATATAGAGCAAACTACAATTAATTGCTTGTGTTGACAAAAACGAATTACATGCATATACAATTACAATAAAAGAAGAAAACATTTAAACTAGTTACATCGAAAAAAACATTTAAACTAGCTATGAGACAATTATAAGATAATTGTAAGACAATTATAAGATAATTATAAGACAATTAGAAATTACATGAATATACAACTACAATAAAAGAAGAAAACATTTAAACTAGTTACAAAGAAAAACATAACTAGCTATAAGAGAATGTGTTTTTTGTGTTTGTGAAATTTGTATATGTGGTAGACATGTGTATATGTGAGTGTGTGAGAAATAAATGCATGCAATAGACACATGTGTGAGAGAGTTCAACAGTAAAAAAAACATAGAGAAAGAAAAACGCACACAAGCCTAGCAACTGCATTCCAACTGTATGTACAACTACATCTGAAAGAATGTGTAGCAGAAAAATGGAAAGAGGCTAGGAAGAGCAATGCACGCCTTTTTATATGCTTATGTGTATGTATATGTATTGCATTTTTTTTTTGTTTTAGGGGGATGGGCACAAGTAGCAGTGTTTTATTGATTTGTTGTTGATGTGTTTTACTGTTCTGTTTTATGTTTTTTAGTATTTTTTCTTCTTTTTTTACTTCCTCTTATTGTCATAAAAAATAAATTGGGAAGTTGGGCAGAAGAATACCTTATAAGTAAATTCCCACTCCCATTTAAGTCTGCGTATTTTTTAAAATTTGATATTAAATAAAGATGGTTTATTATTATTATTATTGATTAAAGAGATCCTGTTCTTCACTTGGGTGACACTTTCTAGTGTTTGGTGTTTCATCATCCCTATCATTACCGTTAGTTTATGGTTAGATGTAGGCGGTTGCATGCTGCGACCATCTCCCCAGACTGTTATCTTAGCTGGGGCTGTAGAATATGCTGACTACACCACAATAATGCCACCTTTTTGGTATGGGAAGTTACCCATAAAGGCCTGATGATGGAAACCTGTAGGCTGAGCAGTTCATAACCTGTGTGGATAAGTAGTCATGTGACAAGCAACACTCCTTACTGGACTAGATGAGCAGTCAGAAAGACCCTGTCTGATTAGTCGGCTGGTCATGTCAAGCCCTTGCAGCTATATAATTAAATCTGACATTGTCTCACAAACTGATCACATAATGATCTAATACTTAACCTTTAATTATTTTAAAAGTGCTAGATGGTGCTAAGCTGGAGGTTAATTGAGTCAAAGAGACAGAAATTTTGACAAATGTTTTATATCAAGGGATCAGATTTTTGGGGTACTGAAGCTCATGACAACAGTATACTGGTAGATGTATCCCCATTTCAACTAAAGTGAATGGATTTAACCCCCTTGGTAAATTCTCAATAGTAATTGGACTCCATGAAGTCGGTGGTGATTCTCAGGAACAATGAATAAAAAATCACATTATAAATTTAAATAAAAACCCAAACAGATTCTCTCTGACTCTGCTTCAGAAATAGAACCCAGAATAGAATTCCTTAGATTCATTATAATCAAATCTCTAGAGGAAACTCTGCTAGCCAATATGTCATCATTCATGATCAAAAAAATATATTACCAGCAGAGCAAATCCTGGAATAGTGAAAAAAAAATGAGAAGTGACAATCTACTTGTTATATTCCGTGCTAAGGGAATAAATACTTAACACCAGGTGAATAATAGAAGAAAGGTTTATTGTACACAACCAGTACAATATGAAATACGGTACAGTAATACACACAGGTCAATCTAGTAGTGAGTGCCACTAATTGGAAGGTCAGATGTGCTTGCATTGTCTCTCTCTCACTCTTCCTTGAGTCTCTCGTAGATGGTTGACTATATAGGTACTTACTACCTATAGTATAATCTTTCATGGGGGTGACTGGTTATTTCGTTACATCACTACTTGAACAATAAGAAATATGTAGGCAACATAATAAAGATTTCTACAAATTAAAATGAAAGCTTACCTACACGAAAGACTTAACACCTCAAAGGGAATTATCAGAAATAGAGAGCTGTCCCTATCTACACCAGAGGAAATAAATGCAGCCTTAAGAAAGCAAGGGGTCACCAACTGTAAAAGGATAAGTATAAAAAAAGGGGCAATCAACAAATTCATATACGCACATATATCTTAACATTTAATCTCAAAAGAAATAAAGATTGGATATATGATTGAGAGGGCTAAATAATACATCCCCAATCCCTTGAGGTGTTTCAAGTGTCAAAAGTATGGGCATTACAAAGAGAGCTGCAGAAGACAGTTGGTATGCTGAAAATGTGATCAAAAAGACCCAGATCAGATGGAGGAAGATTATACTCATGATAGTAAATGCTCTAATTTTCAAGAAAACCATCTAGCCTTTTTGAAATTTTGCTATATATCTATATATATAAAGTTGTAGCTTCTGTCTGTCTGTCTGTTATCAAACTCCACCTAGGGTTTTGGAGATAGACTACCATAACCATATATATTCTGAAACTTCATTAACCAGGGTGCTTAGATATATTTTATTTTGATCAAAAGGGTTCCCCGGTGTGTGTGTGTGTGTGTGTGTGTGTGTGTGTGTGTGTGTGTGTGTGTGTGTGTGTGTGTGTGTGTGTGCAGGGGGGGTTACAAAACCCCAACCACAAAAAATTTTATTCCCTTTGATTTAAATTAAATTTAAATTTGAACAATGGAATGACTTTATCCAAAATATAGAAGGAGAAAGCCAGAAAATGGAGGTCACATTGGCAAGATCAAAATGAGACAATATGGATATCAAGTTGAGCAAGAAATCACTAATCAGTGTGTAGTGCCTTACAATACACATTTGTTGCGACAATTCAACTGACATATCAATGTTGAAATCTGCTCATTAATTCATTCAATCAAGTATTGCATCAAATATATATCAAAGGGATCTAATGTAGCTGTTTTTGCACAATGTCCTCACTGAAATTTTTTTTCACTTTGATTTAAATTAAATTTAAATTAGTACATGGGAATGACTCCTATCCAAAATATAGATGGAGAAAGCCAGAAGACAGATGTGACATCAGGAAGATCATTGAGTAATATTGAAATGCATCATTTTTCTCCACAAATTTATAACAATGCTTTAAAATCAATCATTATTTTGTTACAAAAAAAAAAAAATGTGTGACATGCAGCAAGGTATGGATAATTCAGCTAGTATATATATATATATATATATATATATATATATATATATATACCGTCATCCAGACAAACTGTTTTCCTGTATCACAGCTCATCAGTGTGGCTAGACATCCGATTACTTCAGGCAGAGAACAAAACCCGACCAATTTGGTATCAGTTGAAGATTCTAACTCCTAGGCCATCAACACACAGCAGAGAGAAAGGCACATTTTTGTATATTTATTTCTTCATAAACACACCAGTCACTCAGAGAACTAAATTGCTAGAAGAGTTTTGCATTATCAGCAGTAATAGTGACTGTTTACAAATTGTTTACTCCCCGCAGTGCTCAACCGATTAAATTATTTTATCGAGAGCTAATATCATCATCTATAGATAGACTGTTTCGCCATATCACAGCTCATCAGTGTGGCTAGAGATCCAATTGCTTCAGGCTGGAACCAAAATCTGGCCGATTTAGTATCAGTTGGTGATTCTAAACCCTAGACCATGCATGGTAGAGAGAAAGGGGAATTTTTGCGTATTTGTTTTTTCATAAACACACCAGGTACTCAGAGAACTCAATCATAAGGAGAGTGATGTTATATATACATACATACATATATATATATATATATAAAAGAAAGTGCAAGAAATCATTGAGGTAAAGTATAGAAGAGGTATATTTTTCCCAGAAGCAAGAAAAATAGTATAAACAAAAAAAAAGTCCACATTGGATGAAATGTATCAGCTAAAACTACACAGTTTTCCTATTATCTTTTTTCCTAATATATATATATATGTGTGTGTGTGTGTGTGTGTGTGTGTGTGTGTGTGTGTGTGTGTGTGTGTGTGTGTGTGTGTGTGTGTGTGTGTGTGTGTG